TCGCCGCAACAAGGACTGCACCACACATAACGTACCCCACATACATTGCACCACAAGTATTGCGCAACATGTTGTACAACGTAGCTTGTTCATCAGGTTTTGCACCACAGGGGTTCCATCACGTTAGCCAGCGTGGGCCCTACACACTATGTTCCTGGCAAGATATGGTGTTCAATATATGCGGAACCATGTGGGTTGTCCAATGTGGTGCAATCCATACTTTGCAGTCTACGCTGTGCACATTGTGGGGTACAACCTGTGCGGTGTGCGACTTGCACTGTGCAATCGGCGTGGTGCAATCTAGCTGGTGCCGTTTAGGTTGTGCTGTCTATGTGGCGCAATACATGTGGTGCACTCTAGGTGGTGCAATCTATGCGGGGCAATGGGTTGGTGCAATCTATGTTATGCAATTAATCTCTGACCGTCTTGAAGCTGTTCTCTCCACTGCTCGTGCAAACATCCCACCCTCCCACCCGCAACTTGGTCGCAAGACCTCTTAAAACAAGACCGTGACGGTACGTACCACATGACACTTGGCCACGACACCGACGCCGACGACGACAGCGACAAAGACGACGACGGCGCCGCCGACACCGACTACGACGACACCGACGACGTCTCCAACGACTTCGACGACGACAACGACGACACCGACGACGACGACGACGATGACGACGTCAACGACGCCGACGACGACGACGACGGCGACTACGACGACACCGACGACGTCTCCGACAACTTCGACGACGACAACGACGCCGACGCCGACGACGACGAAGACGACGACGACGTCGCCAACGAAGACGACGACGAGGGAGGAGGAAGGACGACGACGGCGACAACGACGACAACGACGACAACGACGAGGGAGGAGGAAGGACGGCGACGACGCGAACGACGAAGAAGGAGGAAGGACGGCGGCGCCGACGACGACAACGACGAGGGAGGAGGGAAGACGACGACGACAACGACGACGACGACGGCGACGAAATAGGAGGGACGACGACGAGACGCCGACGACGGACGACGACGACGACGAGGGAGGAGGAGCAAGGACGACCACGGCAACAACGACGACGGAAACGACCACGACGCCAAAGAGGACGACGACGACGAACACGAGGAAAGACAGAGGACGACGTAGGCGACGACGACGACGACGCGGGAGGAGGGAGGACGGCGACGACGACGACGACGCAAAAGCGCGCGCACGCTTTTGTTGAAAATCCGTGTTGCGAAACCTTGGGTTTTTGTAGGTTTTTTGGACACACGATTTAAAATCCTTCCGAAACCGATGGGCTTTGAAGGATTTCGGCATACGCGCGCGACGACGCGCGCGTCTGCACTTCGTCCCATTTTTTGCTGAGGATTCTCGCGACGGCACACGCGCAAGGGCGTTCGACAGATTTCGACACGCGCGCGCGCGAAACCCGTTTAATAGCATTTTGTGAAAATCTTGGAAAACCTATGGTTTTCTTAAGATTTCGCAGGAGCTCGCGCGGAAGCTTTTTTAGCAAATCAGTGTTGCGAAACCATGTGTTTTGCATGTTTTTAGAAACTCGATTGCGAAATCCTTCCGGCACCGAAAGTTTTCGAAGGATTTCGGCATGCGCGCGCGACGACGCGCGCGTGTGCACTTCGCTTGATTATTTTGCAAGGGATTCGTGGAAAAGTGTTATGTTAGAAAGAAAAATCTCACCGCATAGTGTTTTTACAAAGGACCTTTAAGGGGGGGATACCGGCCCCCCTGGGATAGTGTAACTTCATATTTAATATGGACATGTGGTCGGAATCGTATGTGATTTACATACCCGAAAGGGGTAGCGATAACGCCATGGGGGGGGGGTAGATCCTATTCTGTTTTTATAAGGGAGAATCAATCAGCTGCTCAACTTGAAGCTGTCCTCTCCACTGCTCGTGCAAACATCCCACCCTCCCACCCGCTACTTGGTCGCAATACCTCTGAAGATCGTGACGGTTTGTAACAAATGGCGCTTGGCAGCGACACCGGCGCCGACGACGACAGCGACAACGACGACGACGCCGCCGACAACGAATACGACGACACCAACGACGTCTCCAACGACTTTGACGACGACGACGACAACGACGACGACGACAACACCGACGACGACGACGCCGACGCTGACGACGACGAATCGGTGTGGCGACCACCAATGTTAACGCCAAAATTGATGACTGCGGGGGGAACTCTCATGGCTATGGTCCGTGCGAGACCTCCCAGACCACGCTGCAGTGCTGCAGCCTGTTGGGAGGGCGTCGTTAGTGCCTGTTGTCACGTTGATCCAGGCATGTACCTCTCGAACGAATTCGCGGAAAAGGTATTTGACCGACCGGGTCCCAGTGGGGGTCGGTTGTTCTTGTGTCGTCTCCGCCACGCAATGCCACTCCAATGGCCCCGTAGGTCGTGGTCGGATGTTAGTGGCTGGGGTTTGTGGTGTTTTGTTGTAAGCCTGCGTGGGAGTGGAGGCGGCGCAATATCGTGTCGCATGTTGCCATGCATGGTGTCTTCAAACAAGTTTCCGGTTGGAGTAAGTGGGTGGACATTAGGAGTGTAGCAGCGCAGGGATGTAGAACTCAAGTAAGAGGCCTCCGCGAAAGCAGAGGTCATACTGCAAGTGTCCTTGCGGTTGAGCGTACTTATGTACATTCCTCCGCGCAGACCCACTGCACCCTGATGCTCCACCATGTCAGTAGTCCACAGGATAGTGTCGTGGATGGTGAGGAGTAGAGCACGAGCTGGCCACCATAGGCCAGCTCCGCTACCAAGTTTGACGGGGGTTGGGAGGCCCAACTAGAAGCTTCGCCTAAGGCGAAGCCCATTTCCAACTCTGTTATACCGTAGTAACGACAGTCCCAGAAGTAGGAGGTCGTCGCGGGAACGACGGGCCATCTCAAGCGAAGATGTTTTCGGTCTCGATGGCAAGTCGCGTGCCTCGCAATGAAGCGCAATCATATGTTGGCGGCCGGCCGTTTGAGCCCAAGCGGCCGCGGACAAACGCTCGCTATCTCTCGCCCTTGTCCCAGCTCACTTTAGAGTCACACGCGCATACACGCCCCCCCCCCCCACACACACACACACACGCACGCACACGCACGCACGCACGCACGCACGGACACACACACACACACACGCAGACACACAGACACACAGACACACACACACACACACACACACGCACTCACACATAATCACACACGCGCACATTATCACACAAATGATAACACACGTTCACTCACACACATACACACACACACGCGCTCACACATAATCACACATGCACGCATAATCACACACACAGAATCCGCCGACCCCTTGTGGGTCTCTAGGCGTGTAAGATTCTTCCCCCCCCCCATTATCCCCCCCCCAGGGACATCCCAAACCGGGAATTGGACCCCCCCCCGCGGACGCGAAATGGGGGAGAAACGGGCCCCCAAACGGACAAAGAAGGTCACAGAGGCCCCCCAGACGGTCCAAGAGGGCCACGAGTCGCCGAAAGATCGCCCCTAGGATGCCCAAGCTAGCCTTCAGACGGCGCCAGAGGCAACCAAGACGCTCTAAGAGGCCCCCCAGAACCAAACATCGTCCCATTCCCTTGGGGAAATGCGCATTTTTAGCATAGTCGCCTCTTTGCCTCTCATAGCGTCCAAGGCGGCCCAAGAAGCCTTTCAATATCGCTCCCAGCCGGCCCAAGGGGCCACCAAGAGGGTTCCAAGAGCATCCCAAGATGGCCCAATAAGCCACCAAGACAGCCCAAGAGGGCCCCAGGACGGCCCCAAGAGGGGACCCAGAGGAATACTCTTCGAGCTTTCGGTCCCAAGCCGCCCCCAGGTTGCAAATATGCAGCCGCTGCGCCGCTCACATTCGTCTTCAAAGTTCGCAACGGTTTCATGGATGGAGAGCGGGTGGTTTTCAACATGTGGCCCTCGCCATGGCGCCGCGCACAGTCGTCACACAAGTGTTTAGCAGTTCCAAGGGCTCCTACGGTTGAAGTCCCAGGAATGGTGTTCTGGTGCGACTTCGGATTGCCAGGACGCAGCAGTCACGTTGATTCGCGGTGGTGAAACCCCAGAGGTTGTCAGGACGTAACAGTCATGTTGATTCGCGGCGTCAGAGTCCCAGGAATAATGTGCCCGACTCATTCAAGGGATCGGCGGATGTGGCGTAAGCCTGTATAATCACACACACACGCATTCACTCTCACACACACACACTCACAAACACACTCACACACTCTCTCACACACACACCACACACAAACACACGAACACACGCACACACCCACACACGCACACACACACGAACCCACGCACACATTCACACACACACACATTCACAAATTCACACACACATTCACACACATTCGCACACACACACACTCTCACACACACAACACGCACGATACATGCAACACACAAGCAAACACACTTTTTAATCCTCTGGTGATGTGCAGCACGATCGCTAAACAACAAACGGGGCGCGCAAACTAAATTCTAATCGAACGTGCGTCGAACGCGCTCCGAACGAAACCGTGGTATTCCGGGTACTGGGCATGCTGAGGCGAGCAGCTCGAAATGAGAAATGATAACGTGCAACGGGCACGTGCAACAGGTGAGCTGCGGACAAGCACACGAGCATCCACGCGCACACACGCATGTGTCGCACTGACGTTTTGCCGTCTACGCCTGGCGCTTCTGGCCACTTGTGGCGAGCACAGCGCGGCAGTCCTGCTCGAAACTGCGTCCTTGTGGCGGCGACCTGGACCATCCTACCAATCCGAAGGCCACTCGCCGCCGAGCCATAGAAAAAAACAAGCAATACTGACACCAGCGTGAACACGCCATCGGCCGCTGGGCTCCGAACGGGGTCCGCGGCCGCGTCATCCTCGCCGCTCACTCGATCAACCCGAGCGTGAAAGTGAGGACAAAAGGGAGGCATCTGGCCAGGAGCACTATCCGCCGAACTAGGCACTGCCGGTTCACCATGCCAATGCTGGGCAGGTGTATGCCGGCGGGCGTCGTGTTGATGTGCTGCATGAATCTCATGCCCGCTGGCCCCCACACAAGGAGGCGAGTCAGAGTGGAAGCTGGGGGGCGATGTTGAAGATAAGAAGGAGGAGCGGGAACAGTAGGAGGAGCACGGGGTGAGCCAGCCGGGGGGGGGGGGGCCCAAGGATGGCGGTGGAATGGCGGGTGGCCAGGGGCGGAACACCAAGCGGGGCCAGCGCAGCGCCCGCGGGCGGAACGTCCTCGAGGCTCAGCACATCCCAGGACTGAGCGGCGGGGCGCTCCGCTGGAGGCCCCCCCCAGGGACGCGCAGGAGAGTGGCGAGGGCCGCCCGCGTGGCAGCACCCAAGCGGGCGAGGCCTGTGCAGCTTGAAGCTGCGCGTCGGCCGCTCGGCGGCCCAGGGGCGCAGGCACGCTGCGACATGTACACGCTCGGCGGCCCCCGGGGGGGGGGGCGATGTCTGGCTTGGACCCGCGTGGCGGAGCACGCCGCGAGAGTCTCTCGGACGCCTGGCGGTGGGGACGGTTCCCCGCGTGGCACAGCACCCTGTAGGGGCCCAACGGGGGCGAGGCCTCGCTTGGATCTGCGCGGCGGGGTGCTGCTCTGGACCCCCCCCCAGGGGGCGCGTGTGCCATGAACGGTACCTGCGCGCTGGGTAGCTCCCGGGGGGGCGAGGCCGGTTTTTCGCTCGGGTCTGCATCGCGGGGTGTTCCCCTGACCCCCGAGGCGGCGCAGCAGGAAGCAGTGGCCGTTGCACGCCTGATAGCATACGGGGGGGGGGGTGGGCAGAGCAGAGAAAGGAGCAAGGGACGAGAGAGGAGGATGGGGGATACGAGAGTAGGCGGGAGAGGACAATAGAGGAGCAGCAGTCGAGATAGCTACTCAAGAGGAATGCCCAACCACATGAGACTTGAGTGGGGGGACGCGTGACGTCGGATGTCTAGGTCCCCATCCACCACCGTGACCTGCGCGAGGCACCCAGCAACACGTGCTGGACGTGCCCCCCTGGAGACCCCCCAAGCCCCCGAGATCGCAAGCTCGCGCGCTAGAGCAGAACGGAGCATCATTCGAAGGGAGGGCCGGTCGAGGGAGCGAGGAAAAGGAGAAGCACGCGTGTGCGCGTGGGGAGAGAGATCGGCAACAGTGCCCATTGATACCCAGGTCAATCCAGTCCTAGGTCTGTCAGGCCTTGCAGGATCCTGCAATATCCTGCTGGGTCCTGCAGTCCTGCAAGATCCTGCACCCAAGCCCGGGTCAGCGCACCCCTGGCTCTCCAGGATCCTGCAAGATCCGGCGCTCTGGCCGACCCCCGTTTGCATCGACCCCCGCCCCTGGAGCCCCCCCCTTTTCCGCTCCCCCTCCTCCCTAAGAAGGCCTGGGGGCACCCGAGTGGGTCCCCACTCCCGTCGCCAAGGGGGACCCCCTGGCGTTGGGGTTCTGGTCCCGGGTCCCCCGGGGTTGCGTGAAGGGAGGAGGCGGAGGAAGAGGAGGAGGAGGAAGAGGAGGAGAAGGAGGAGGAGGAGGAGGAGGAGGAGGAGGAGGAGGAGGAGGAGGAGGAGAGGAGGAGGAGGAGGAGGAGGAGGAGGAGGAGGAGGAGGAGGAGAAGGAGGGCGAGGAGGAGGAGGACGAGGATGACGAGGAGAACGAGGAGGAGGGCGAGGAGGAGGGAGGAGGAGGAGGAGGAGGATGAGAGGAGGAGAAGGAGGAGGAGGAGGAGGAGGAGGAGGAGGAGGAGGAGGAGGAGGAGGATGAGGATGAGGAGGACTGGGCCCGTGGCACTCTCCTCTCTGGCCTGCTCCTGCTGCTGCTGCGCGAGGCCTCGGACGAGCCCCTCCCGGGTGCTCGACGCCCGCGGCGGCCACGGAGCCCTGTCCTCACCGACCTGGGCGAAGGCAGTCCCAGGCGGTGTGTCGACGGCTCGGCGGGGGCCTCCTCGCCCTCCTCCCTACTCGCCCTCCTCCCTCGTCGCCCCCCTCTCCGCCCCTGCCGCCCTCCTCCACGCCCTCCCTCCAGCTCCCTCCTCCTGCCACCCTCATCGTCTTCCCCCGTCCTCCCCTCCCCCCTCCTCCCTCCTCCTCCTCCTCCTCCTCCTCCTCCTCCTGCTCCTGCTCCTCCTCCTCCTCCTCCTCCTCCTCCTCTTGCTGCTGGCTGCTCTCGCGTTGAGACGCCGGTGTCTCGTTGCGTTCTCACTCCTCCTCCTCCTCCTCCTCCTCCTCCTCCTCTTCTTCCTCCTCCTCCTCCTTCTCCTTCGAGCTGCGGATCGGTTCGTCGATGAAGACTGGGGCTCTCGATGGACCTCCCCTGACCATCGCCACGGGGTGGGGAAGAACATCAAATGGATAAGAGAGGAGAGGAAAGAACGACCGAACGCTGGATGGAGAATACCTGCGGTAGGAATAGAGGCGTGCGGGCGAGGTCGATGTCCGCGCATGTGCGCGCTGAGGGTGGCTGCCTCCTTCTCGCTCCCTTCCTTCTCCTCCTGCTCCTCCTGCTCCTCCTTTCTTCCCCTCCTCCTCCTCCTCCTGCTCCTCCTCCCGCCGTGCTGTCCCGAAGGTGGGCGGTGCTGTAGCGCGGCAACCTTCAGAATATTCGGCGTGCACCTCAAAAGTCATCTGCCACCCGCTGAACTTGTCCGCCAAGGTGCGCAACGACCGCTCTCCGAGTCGGCGCGTCTCGCAAAGATCCGTGACAAACGCCAGGGGCAGCATCGTCATGACACCAGACGACAGGGTGACGAAAGCCATGAAAACATACATGGTAGCAGACTTCGGGGATCTCCTGCTCACAAGGGTGACCCACAGAAAAAGGAGGCTAGAACACAACAGAACGTTCTGCAGCAACAGCACTGTTGGAGATATGCTGCGAGACACGCTCACGAGCTTCTTCGTTAATGCCTGATGCTCGCGGAGCATCTGCAACCAATAACCAGTATACAATCCCTCCTGTGTGGCCTCAAGCTTGCTGTAATAATCCTCGACCTCGTTCAGCGCCAGCGAAGCCATTAACCAAACAAATGTGACCAGCTGCATGATAACCCAAAGTGGGTAGAACGCCGGAAACCATCCCAAGAGAAAGTGGCCCAGATTTGGGAACTCCGTGGTAAGACCAATCCCCGCGAGCAGAAATGCAATCATTAGCAAGACGCACAGGGAGATCGCATAGCTCCAGCGGACCACTGCGATTGCATCGCCGCGCTTCCTCTCATCCCCGCAAGTGCTGGTGACTAACTGCAATATGTCCTGCCCCGTGGTGGCCCGGTGCGCCAACGCCGTCAGGGCCACGCAGCAGAGGTTGAGGACGAACAGGACGCACAACGAGATCTGGAACATCCACCTGGCGCAGGGGCAATTTCCACCAACTCCTCGGGGACCCTCTGGAGAACATGCCCAGGGCGTGTAGGAGAGAGGGGGGAGGAGGTAACAGGCGGAGGAGGAGGAGAAAGGATGAGGATGAGGGTGATGTCATCGCGGCTGTCCTATCAGGGCACGAGCAAGCCGCCATCACCTGTACTTTCGGGGGGGTGGAGGTCGGGAAACGGGGGACACCAGACACGTGTCCTAGGGCGGGGAGGGTAAAGAACCAGCGGGTTTGGCAGGGAAAATCGCACGAGGCATGGCTCTCATGAGGGCGTGCATCGGTGCCTGGTCCGTCGTGACGAGTCATTACCTTCCGTCCTCACCCCATTGCCCTTCTTACCAATCCTGCCGAGTGTGGTCTCCTCAAGGGGGGTATCCATCCCTAGTGGAAGGGTGCGCGAGCCAGCGATTCCCTCTTGATGGTGCCCTGCTCCTGGTGCCGCCTTCGCTGACTTCAGTGTGTGCCAACGCCGCGGTGCCCGACGCAACCTCCCAGAACTGTTTCTTGCCCCTTGGGAGAGCCGGGCATGAGGGCCCCGCGATGCCTGCTCTCAGGGAACCTGCAGACCAAGCACAATGGTCCCTTCCCCCCCCACCCCTCGGTGTGCTCAAGGGCCCCCGGGACATCCAGGGAGGGGGATCGGAACACATCTTAATGTTTCTTTGGGGGAGGCTTCTGGCCTCTACCGACCACGCGGGCTTGGACGGCGCCACTCGAAGGAGCGCCCGTTGCCCTGTGTTTGGGGATTTTCGCTTCTCCAGCTAGTCAGCCCGCCGCGTCGATTCCGGTCGAAACCATTGCAGTAACCAAACACGCTCCTCGCAGCATCCCGTGGCGCCGATGAGTCAATGGTGATACCTATACGACCACCCTTCGGGTGACATGGAGGTTGGGGGGGGAAGGGAGAACCCACGAACAACAACTGCGATGACTTTTGATGGCGATAAAATGGCGCCATGGATCTCGCGAATTTCATAATCGATCTCACCATTCGCTCTCGGTATCGATCTCACCATCGATCTCACTATCGCCCTCGTAAGAGATCTCACGAGACACCATCGGGAAAGCACGATGGGGCACCACCAGCCACGGCGGGGCTCCTCCAGCCAAAGATCTGTTGTGATCGATCTTGCTATCGATCTCAATATCGATCTCTCGATCTCAAGATCGATCTCACGATCACGATCGATCACGCAATCGATCTCACTGTCGATCTCACAACTGATCTCACGAGCTACCATCGAGACACCGCGGCGGGACACCCGGAGCCATCGTCGGGACATCCCGCGCCACCGACGGGGCACTACGCGCCACCGACGGGGCACCACCGCGCCGCCAACGACGGATCACGATCGATCACGCAATCGATCTTACTATCGATCGGGCAACGGATCCCACGCTCTACCATCGAGACGCCACAGCGGGACACCTGGAGCCACCGTCGGGACACCCCGCGCCACCGACGGGGCACCCCGCGCCACTGACGGGGCACCACCGCGCCTCCGACAGGACGCCCCGGCCACCGTGCGCGGGGGGGGGGCGGACAACCGGCTCCACAGCCCCTAGCCACAGCGGCATCATTTCTCTCGCGCGCCCGCGCAGCTTCGCATCGCCCGCACGCGCGACACGAACACGAAGCCGAAACCGATTTCCCAATGGGCGGCTCTCCGTTCCACTGCGATCTCGCCCCACACCTTCCGATTCTATTCGATGCTATGTTTTGTCGTTCCCAGGCGCGAGGAAGCCCTCTGAAGCTAGCCAATGGAACCAATGGCATGTCTGCGCTTTTGTTGCTTTGTATCACGGCTAGGGGCCCAGCTGTACCATAGAGGCAACCAACGAGTACGACTCTGTTATACTACGCCGTGGATATTGAGATCAACTCGTGAAAGACTGCTCGGTTCCCACGTTCGTGGCACGGGTGTTGCCATTTACGGATCCGTGTCAAGTTGGATTTGGTGTGGTCGTTGGCTTGGCGCTGCTTGCAAGCCCTGCGGAGATTGTCGATGCGCACACCTTTCAAATTGCAGCCAGAAAGCATGCACACGAGACATGTTGCATCTGGCGTCGCCGTGACAGACAGCGTTCGTAGTAAGGATAAGAGCGGGTCGCGGTAACTTCGCCTCAAGAGCAGATGAAGGAGGACGAGGCCCCCCAGTGCACCTGTGGAGCCCGCTCGACCCCCGCAAAACCAAGTGACACCCTTCTCCCTCCCTGCCTCCTGTCCCCCTCCCTCACTCCCTCGCTCTCTCCCTCCCTCCTCCGCGCCATCGTCCCTTCTCCTCCTCCTCATCTTTGTCTCATTTTGTGTTCCTCGATCTCTGTTCCTTAGACACAACTCTTCCTCGTCTGACCACCTGGCGTGTCGGTAGGGTGGGCCAGGCGTCTGACCTGAGACATGATCAAAGCAACTTACGATTCTGAGGTTTGAGATCAGCAGCTAGTGCAAATATGAAGGGGGAGGAGGTCGTCTTCAAACTGGAGCTCTCGCCTTAGCGCCGCACGCATCCGCTTTCAAACTGTGCAACAATCACAAGGATGGAGGGTGGCTCCAGTGAAACATGTGGCTCTCGCCTCCGCGCCGCGCACATTCATCTTCACAGACCTCAGCAGCTATGAGGATGCAGGGCGAGCCGTTTTCAAGATGGAGCTCTCGCCGTATCGCTGCGCGCACTTGTCTCAACAGCCTGCACCAACTATAACGGCAGAGGGCGGCCCCACTTCAACATGTGACTGTCGCGGTGGCGCTGCGCACGCTCGCCTTCAAACACTTGCAACAACTACAAGGGCGGCGATATGGCCATACTCAACGTTGGTCTGTCGACTGGGACCTTTTCCCTTCAGGTCCTTAAGTGTAGTGCTTTGCAACAATCACGCAGACGGAGGGCGGTTGCTTCTCAAACTGGGGCCCTCGACTTGGACTTCCGCAGCCCGGCCCGAGGCTTGAGCACGTGCAGCAGCTGCGCGGCTGGGGGCTGCTCCTTTCAACGCGAGGCTCTCGCCGGACCCTTCCGCCGAGTTCTATGAGCCCACCTTGCCGTGTTCCCTTGAGGTTCCCCAGAAGGATGCCAGGCAGCTGCTCTGCAGAACGGGGCTCTCGCCCGAACGACGGGGCCCAGAGGGTGCTCGTCTTTCAGGAGGACGTTTCTCTTAGTGAAGCGGAAGGCCCGTATGGACTCATGAGGAGGGGCCTTTGGGACAGAGGGCGTGTCGCAGCATCGTTGATGCATCCTGGGTTTGCTCTGGTCTTTATCCTCCTCCTCCTCCTGCTCCCATCCTCGCGCCCTTCCGAAAACACCTCAACTTCCTCTTCCCCCTTCCTGTCCTCCTCCTCCTCCTGCTCCTCCTGCTGCTCCTGCTCCTGCTCCTGCTCCTGCTCCTCCTCCTCCGACAACGCGACCTCTCCCTCGCTTCCCTCCAGTTTGTCCCGCCTCCTCCTGCTCATCCTGTTCCTTGTCCTCCTTCCTCTTCCCCTCCCGCGCCAACGAACGCCCCCCCCCTCCGACGCCCTGTATCATATATGCTACTAAGTCGACACCAAAGAGAACTTAGGACAACTCTCCCGCCCGTCCAGGCCGAAGGGGATCGTGCCAAGAATCTACGGGGGGAAAAGGGCCCGCTCAGCGTCGCCGTAGCCGTCATTGCCAAAAATGAGCAGCTGCCGTAACGGGTAAGTGCGAAGCGCACCGGGAGCCATGCTGAGACCACTCGTGTACCACTGCCACGAAGGATGACCATGTTGCTCAGACGATGAAGACTTCCATGATGCAGTCAAAAACCCTAATAAGGACGCGCGGTAAGGACGCAAGACCCTTGGAAGCCGAAGTTGGGATTTTTGGGGCGGCGGACGACAAAAACCTCAAGGACGAAAGAGCAAGGAAGAGCAAGGACGCAAGGGTACCCTGAGCAAAGTCGCGCGTCCTTATTAGGGTTTTTGACTGTAGGGGGACGGGGCCAGGCTGTCCATGCGAAGACGCCCCCTGGTCCTGCCCCCCTCCTTTTCGACGCCTCCCTAGCTTGACGGGAGAACGTTTGCCCCCCTCGGCGCGGCGCCACGCCCGTGGCGCGCTCCTCGGCAGCGAACGCGGCGAAGGAGGAGGCGGAGGAGGAGGAGGGGGAGGAGGAAAAGGAGGAGGAGGAGGAGGAGGAGGAGGAGGAGAAGGAGGCCGAGGAGGAGGAGGAGGAGGAGGAGGAGGAGGACCAGTGTAAACCCAAGAGCCATCAACGATGTTGGAATGCACCCTCCCTCCAAACTCCCTCTTATAGGCCCCTACAACGGTGCATTTCCATTGCGGGATCTGCCCCGTTTGAAGACAGCCGTTTGAAGATGGGGAAACATGTCAAAACATTGTTTTCGGGATTCCAGCGCCACGGATCAGCCTGAATGTTGCGTCTTGACGATCCTGGATCGTGCCAAAACGCCATTCTTGTGATTTCAACACCTGTTCCAACCGCGAAATCCTGAATCCTTCCAGAGCGCCATTTCTGGTACGTTGAACGTGAGAACCGGTGAAACCCTTGCAATTTGTATGAACGAATGTGCGCGGCGCCAAGGCGACAACCACATGTTGAAAAGGAACCGCCCTCAATCCGTGAGACTCTTGCAAATTGGTAGAATGCATGTGCGCGGCGCTAAGGTGAAAACCACATTTTGCAAACGGGTTATCTTCAATCCGTGAAATTCTTGTACATTTTAGAACGAATGTGCGCGGCGTTAAGGCGACAACCACACTTCGAAAACGGGTTATCTTCAATCCGTGAAACTCTTGCACATTTTAGAACGAATGTGCGCGGCGTTAAGGCGACAACCACACTTCGAAAACGGGTTATCTTCAATCCGTGAAACTCTTGTACATTTTAGAGCGAATGTGCGCGGCGTTAAGGCGAGAACCACATTTCGAAGACGGGTTATCTTCAATCCGTGAAGCTCCAGCACATATTTAAAACGAATGTGTGCTGCGCTGTGGCGACAGCGACATGAAAACGACCCGCCCTCCACCTGTGAAACTGTTGCCATTTTTTCCTCAGGGTCATCAGTGGTGCGGAAGTCTCAGGCGAAACGCCCTGCCCGCCCTAAGAACTGGCCTCGGGGTGTGACAGGGAAACGTTATAAGGAAAACGAATGGAGGAGGAAGAGGAGGAGGAGGAAGAGGAGGAGGAGGAGGAGGAAGAGGAGGAGGAGGATGAGGACGACAAGGAACACGAAGAAGAGGTTGTGCCCCTGGGTTCGCCTGGTCTTCTCCTCCGCCGTGTCGATGGCTTCGGCCTCGGCGGCTATGTTCTCGGCGAGCCACCTGTGCGGACGGCGGGGCCGATGTGGGCCGCCCCGAGAGATCTGAAGGTCTCGTACACTCCTCGTCGTCGTCCTCAAACTGAACGAAGCGGCCTCCTCCGCCCTGCCCTCATCTCCGGGTTATCTTCTTCCCCCTCTTCTCTTTGAGTTAGATGTTTCCTGTCTATATATATATATACATATTTATATATCTACATGCAACTGTTGAAATGCTTCTGGCAGCTTTTAAACAAACGTTTTGAGGTATTTTTGAAGGATTCCCAAAAGGTCGCTGGGGGTTTCCGTGCGCGCCTGGATGGGGGATGGGCCACGCTGGAGGCCACCTCGCGCCACCCCGGAAACCCACTGACATTCTCCCAATGTTATGTGTTTTTGGTTTGCATGGCTTTCGTGGCTTGGAATCTGCTCAAATGATTTGGCATGTTGCTACATGCGCAATCAGCGAAATCGACGAGTCAACACACACATATCAAACACGCTGTGAAGCCCGACCCTTCCCCGGGATTCCCCAGATGGCGCTGGATAGTTAGAGCTCGGCCCCTAGCCGAACGAAGATTAAAACCGACTCGTGCGCGATATGACCTAGCGACTTTACGGTGCAACATACGCGATCCGCCAGCGCGGCGCGCTGCTTTGGAGACGAGGGCGCTTGCGCGCGACCTTAAGCAGGTTCCCTGCGCGCCAATGCTGGCGCAGACGACCCCGTTTTCTCGCGTCGCTCGGATGGCGCTGGACACCAAGGGTTCAGCTCCCAAGTGGCCTCATCTCACCTCTCCCTGGCCATCGATCGGACGTCCATTCCCTGTGCTTTTTGAGGTTTCGTGCGTGGCTTTCTCGCCAAATGATCAAGGGTGCTCCTCGATGGTCCTCGCCGAAGGAAACATGCACACGTCCGAGCGATGCCAAGAACCTGCATACTGAACCCCCGAATCTCTTGGGAAGGCAACGCTGGCTTCCGCTGGCCTTCCCCTGGCGGGGCCGCCCCCCGCTCTGCGGCCCTCGGCTTTTTTCCGCCGGAAGGCGAACCGCGCCGAAGGCGAAACCTCTCTCTCGAGATGAGGAGGAGGAGGAGGAGGAGGAGGAGGAGGAGGAGGAGGAGGAGGAGGAGGAGGAGGAGGAGGAGGAGGAGGAGGAGGAGGAGGAGAGGAGGAGGAGAAGGAGAGGAGGAGGAGGAGGAGGAGGAGGAGGAGGAGGAGGAGGAGGAGGAGGAGGAGGAGGAGGAGGAGGAGGAGGAGGAGGAGGACGAGGATGAGGAGGACGAGAGGAGGAGGGGGAGGAGGAGGAGGAGGAGGATGAGGAGGAGGGGGGGGGGAGGGGAGGAGGTAGGAGGAGGGGGAGGAGGAGGAGGAGGAGGAGCGGAGGAGGAGGAGGAGGAGGAGGAGGAGGGAGGAGGAGGAGGAGGAGGAGGAGGAGGAGGAGGAGGAGGAGGAGGGTAATGAGGAGGAGGAGGAAGATAATGCTGATGATGATGATGATGAGGAGGAGGAGGATGAGGAGGAGGAGGAGGATAATGAAGAGGATGAAGACGCTGGATGGTGACAGTTTGCGCCTTAAAGTATTGAGACCTGAGTTGTGGAGGTACGTTGGCACCCATCCCTGCGGCCGTCTTCGTTGGCCGAGGGGCCATAGGGAGGGCCTCGGCCCCCTCCGTTGGCAACTGACGCCGTAATGTATTGGTGTATTGGTGGGAAGGGGCGACCCAGGCGGCCCCTTATGATGGCAGCCGCAACGGGTGTGAGGCCTATGACGGTCCTCACTGGTGGGGCCTATGATGGTCCTCACTGGGGTGGGGTGGGGAAGAGGGCAGGAAGGTCGAAGCGGATGTCCGACAGCAGCGTCCTGTGGGGATACCTGAAAGGGCACGTCAAAACAAAAAACGAAAATGCACATATTTCGTACTTTGCTGTGCCCCACGCGCCACGCACCACGGCACGGGTGGAAGCCAGCGTGTGTTGGCAGGGGCTCTGCTCCGAGGCAGAGGCCTCCGAACCGCTGCTGGCTACTCGTGCCGATGCTGAGCCGATGCCCCCCTGTCCCACGAGCTCGAGGCCTGCCTCGGTGCCCCTCGTGGGGGCCTCAGCGGTCCTCGGAGGTTGTCGGAAGTGCCGGCTTTTCAGCAGGTCCCCCCCCCTCTACTTCGGCGGCGGGGCCAGGCTGCACGCAGCGGATGTCGCAATTCCGCCGCTTTACCCCCCCCCCCTTCTTCAGCCCCGACCCTTGGAAGGTGAGGGTCGGGATCGAAATCCACCAATCGATTAGCGAATGACCGACGCCAAGGTGTCTGTTAGCCTGGCCCGGTGCGATCGCGTGCATGCCACCCGGGGCTTGGCTAGAAGAAGAAAACACGCCAAAAGCATAAACTTTTTGGCGCTCTTGGCGCTCCGCGCGGATTTCTTGGATCTGCGCTGGACCCCTCTCCCTATCGCGCGGAGCGCGCCAGGGGCGGCGCCCGAGGCGCCGCTGGGGAGGCCCCGGCGCGGATCCAAAAACTCCGAGCGGAGCTCCAAAAGTTTGTGCTTATGGCGCGTTTTTCTCCTCTTCGAAGGCGCGCCATCCAGGGCTCGGCACATGGCCAGGGCTTCGTGGGCTGGCTTCGCACGGCACTTGGGCCGTCGCGAGGGAGAGGGGCCGCCGCCGCAGGAGGGGGCAGCGCGCCCCCCCCCCCCTGTGTGTGCGTGTGTGTTTATTTGTTAAATGTTTAAGAAAAACGCAAAACATAGTATACATACATTTATATGTATATCTATATTCATTAAACTTTTTTCACTTTCTACTTGTATCTGAAGAACGGACATATATAATATACGATACGAATTAAATCAATGCTACTACTTATTAAAGCATGACAAGACAATCGAGTTAAAGCATCACCTCTACGACACGAATTAACGCAATGATGAGAACCCTCTCTTTGTTTTTCTGTTTCTTTGTTTCTGTGGGGAGCGCCTGCGGCGCTGCCCTCCCGCGCCCCCCCCGCAGGAGGGCAGTGCCGCAGGCGCTCCGCACGAGCGGCGGCCCGCGCACGCGTATCTCCCGGCGGCGGCGGCGGCGGCAGCCCTCCACGCCTCCCTCGGGCGCTGCCGGGGGGGGACTCTCTACGAGGCCTCCCAGATTCGGCGGCGAGCGAGGGGGGGGAAATGAGAAGGAGAAGGCCCTCTCAGAAGGCGGCGGGACTTCTCAGGAGCCCTCGCGCCTTCCGGGAGGCTTTTTGTGCCTTGGGGGAAGGCTTCAGAAACTTCCCAGAAGGCCGGGGGACTTCCGACCCTTCTGAGACGGCCTTCTCCTTCTCACTTCCCCCCAGGGCTCGCAGGTCGAGGATCGCGCCGCATCGCCACTGCACCAGCGATGTATCGGCGATGCAGCGGCGACGTCGGCATGGGGAAACACGGGCTCCACATCGACCCGCTCTGTCGATGCATCGGCGATGCGGCGCGGTCCTCCGACACCATCTGCCCGGACCCCATCTAGGAGGCCTAAATCTCTGGAGGATGCTGGAGGCTCCCAAGAGCTCTTCTTGCACGAGGGGGCCCGCCGGAGGTACGACGCCCTGCCTTCTCTTGGCGGAGGGCCCCCCCCGGAAGTCCCTCCTCCTCCTCCCCCTCCTCCTCCTCCTCCTCCTCCTCCTCCTCCTCCCCTCCTCCTCCTCCTCCTCCCCTCCCCCACTCCTCCCTCCTCCTCCTCCTCCTCCTCCTCCCCCTCCTCCTCCTCCACCTCCTCCTCCTCCTCCCATCCTCTCTCTCCCTCCTCCCCGCCTCCCCCCCCTCCTCCTCCTCCTCCTCCTCCTCCTCCCTCCTCCTCCTCCTCCTCCTCCTCCTCCTCCTCCTCCTCTCCTCCTCCTCCTCCTCCTCTCCTCCCCCTCCTCCTCCTCCTCCCCCCCCCCCTCCTCCTCCTCCTCCTCCTCCTCCTTCCTCCTCCTCCTCCTCCTCCTCCTCCTCCTCCTCCCTCTCCCCAGGGCTGCCTCTGAAGCCCCACTCGTTTCTGGCGGCCCCTGGGGCCCGGCGAGGGCCACCCCGGAGGCCGCAGGCGACGAGGCGGCCTCCACCGTCGACGCTGCCGGGGCGCTGGAGCTCCGGGCGGCGGGGTGGGGCGGGCCGTGCGGGCGCCTGGGGCACGCCAGGATGAGGTAGCCGGCGTAGTTGCCCACGGCCATCAGGATGAGGCTGTGGGCCGCCCGCGTCCGCGCTCCTTTTCGGGGGGGGGGGGGGGGCCCTGGCGGCCGCAGCTCTCCGCGGGCCCCCGCGGGCGGACGCTCTCCGGGTGCTCTTCCGTGGGCGAGGCACGCGGGGAGAGGAGCCTGCTGCGAGGAGGCCAGGGGGCGCCCCCTCTCGTCGACCTCGGCAAGGCCACGGGCTGCGCACGGAAAGGCCCCCTCCGCCCACCCCCCGAGTGGTCCCGGCTGGCCTCCACAGGGCCCCTCCGAGCAGTCCGGCGCTGCAGCCCTGGGAGGCGCTCCGCGCCCCGTGGGTGCCGCCGGGGTGCTGAGGCCGCCACGGGCTGCTCGGGTGGCCTGGCGAGGCCAGCCGGGACTGCTCGGGGGGCCCGTGGAGGCCGAGCAGGGAGGCACTCTCTCTCGCGGGGCACGCGCTGGCGAGCGGATTCCCTGCTTGGCGTGCTGGCCGTGGCTCTTGCTCGGGCCCCCCTGGGCCTCTGGAGCAGGGGCGGGGAGCGGGGGGAGGGTCGGAGGTTCGAGGATCGGTGCCTGTTGGGCGTTTCTGGCCCGCTTCGGCGCGAGGGTCCAGGGTTTGAGGGTCGATGCTGCTGGGCACACTTGAGGAAGTCTCAAGCGAGAGCTCCGTTCTGAGAAGAAGGCGTTCTTCATCTTCGTCGCTGTTGCAGACTTTTTTCAACGAATGTGCATGGCGCTGAAACGGGAACCCCATTTTGAAGACGTGCCGCCCTCCATGCTTGAGGCTGCTACAAACTTTTAAGACGCATGTGCGCGGCGCTGATGCGGAAGCCCCATTCTGAAAAGGGGGATGGTGCTTGGTTTTCCTGGCGGGTCGTTCTAGTATGCCTACTTCGGCCAACTAGTACGACTTGGCGGAGACCTCCTGGAAGGGCCAAAGTACGCCAACCATTGCGACCTGCGGGGTCCCACCAGCATGCCAAAGCAGTACGACCCGCGGGTTGAGGGAGGTCCTCCAAGTAGGCCGACGTGCGCCTACGAAAACGACCTGCGGGGTCCTACTAGTAGGCGGAAGTAGGCCCACTAGTACGACCCGCGGGCGGAGGGAGGATGTACTAACGGAGCCTGAGTGCGCCTACCAGTACGACCCGTCGGTGGAGGGAGGTCCTATAAGATGGCCTAGATGCGGCTACGAGTGCAACTATTGGGATCCTACCAAGAGGTCTACTGTGGCCTACTAATACGACCCGCGGGTGGAAGGAGGTCCTCCTCGCAGGGCCCAAGTAAGCCTACGAAAACGACCCGACTAGTGCATTGCTTGCGCGCCTCCCTCCTACTCCTTCTCCTTTTCCTCCTCCTGCATCCTGCATCTTGTGAACTCCTTCGGGGGCTGCGAACTGCGCACCTGTCGCCACTTTCGTAGGCTCCTGGGAGGCACGGCGGAGGTGAGGGCTGCGCATCCATTTGAGACCTCGCGGCTATCTCGGGGGCTGCGATCTGCGCAATTGCCGCCACGTTCGTAAGCTTCTGGGGGCACGGTGGAGGAGAGGGCAGCGCATATTCATTTGAGACCTTGCGGCTCCCTCGGGGGCTGCGACCTGCGCAATTGCCGCCACTTTCGTAAGCTTCTGGGGGGGCACGGCAGAGAGGGCAACGCACTTCCATTTGAGACCTCGCGGCTCCCACGGGGGCTGCGAACTGCGCAACTGTCGCCACTTTCGTGGGCTCCTGAAAGGCACGGTGGAGGTGAGGCTGCCCTGATCAGTTTAAGATCACGCGGCTCCCTCTGGGGCTGCGATCTGCGCAACTGTCGCCACTTTCGTGGGCTCCTGGGAGGCACGGCGGAGGTGAGGGCAGCGCAGATCCATTTGAGATCGGGGGCTGCGAACTGCGCAGCTGTCGCCAATTTCGTGGGTTCCTGGGAGGCACGACGGAGGTGAGGGCAGCGCAGACCCATTTGAGACCCTGCGACTCCCCCCGTGGCTGCAACCTGCACAATGTTTGTCACTTTCGTGGATTCCTGGGAGGCACGGCGGATGTGAGGGCAGCGCAGCTCCATTTGAGACCTCGAGGCTCCCCCGAGGGCTGCGAACTGCTCAATATTTGTCACTTTCGTGGGTTCTTTGGAGGCACGGCGGAGGTGAGGGCAGCGCAGAACCATTTAAGATCTCGCGGCTCCCTCGGGGGTTGCGAAGTGCGCGCCCTTCGCCACTTTTCAGAGCTCCTGGGAGGCAAAGCGGAGGTGAGGGCAATGCAGAGCGTGCATATCTGGCGATGTGTCTTTGTGCATTCGATATCATACAAATGTTCGCCTCGCGCGGAGAATGGGTTGGGTACGTTTTGGGCATGTTTTTTTCCGTCTGCCGTACATGTTCGAACTCAAACAAAAGGCCTGGGCACTACTCCTTTCTGTGTGTTCAGATGTAACGTTCGTGCGCGTATCTTATGCACACATCTACAATCTTAGGTTGTGATATGTTGTATGCTATTTGATGGTTATACTCTACTACAGTACATCATATACCACCACCTTATATCATTTCACACGACCACATTTTATACTATAGTGTACGTTGTGGTGTCGTATGACACGACGCTGTACTACAATAGGCTAAACTATATCAGCTGTACCCACATTGCGTTATAATACATGCAGTACAGAAAACAACAATCTTACAATGCATCTCACATCCTTACATGACGTGTGATTGGGTGGTTCTTAATCATGCCGAATTCTATGATGCCGTTGTATTCTTACAATATGGTATTCTACTGTATCTTATCAAGCCATGATATATTACACACTATGCTATTCAAGAGTATTCGATTATATTGTATTACATGCTGTGGTGTCCAATTCTAGTATGTTCGGATCTACTATATTACAATATGTTCTACTCGTTTGGAATGTATTATACTTTATTCGTAGTACTTGCACTTTACTATTTTGACATCTGCTATATCATCGTATAATGCACCACAATGGCAGCTCATTTCGTTATTTCGCATTCTTGTGTTTTTGCTTGTTATTCCTCTCCTTTCCGTGCCAACCTGGCGCGCAAAGCGTCTGCTTCCTGCCTCCGGCCGCGCCCGCGCGCCGCTCACTTCAGGGGGATGAAGCTCATCTTGCCGCCCATGCCTGCGCGGCCGTGCTTCGTGGGCTTGTACGTGATGGAGAACTCCCCCAGGTAATGCCCGATGGCCTCGGGCTTGACCTCCACGTTGATGTACTGCTTGCCGTTGTAGACGCCCACGACGCTCCCTATCATCTCTGGCACAATTACCATGTTCCGCAGGTGAGTCTTGACGGCCTCAGGCTTCTCGCCGTAGGCAGTCTCACGCTTAGCCTTGCGCAGCTTCTTCAGGAGTGCGATTGGCTTGCGCTTGATGCCGCGGCTGAACTTCCTCCGCTGCCGCGCGCGGAAGAGCTCCATCAGCTCCTGGTTGCTCAGGTCAAGCAGCTTGTCGAGATCGATCCCGCGGAAAGAATACTTCTTGAAGGTCCTCTTCTTCTTCTGATCGTCGTCACCCATGATGGGCAGGCTGCGCCTTCAAGGGCTGGGCTGTCTTGACGGGGGCGCGGGCGGCGCTTGAGCCCTGAAAAGGGCGACTTGAGCCAAAATGGCTACGGGTTACACTCTGTCGTATTAGATTATAATGTGCGGTATTTCATTCCAGTATATGGTGTTTCATTATAGCATATAAAACCTTAGTGTTGTGTATTTTAGTTTGTATGCTGTATTGCTCTGCGTAGTTGTCATGCTTTAGCCCATTCTATGTCCTTCAGTAAGTCATGATATCTTATGTTTAATGGTCTGGTACAGCCTACACATCTATATATACACATCTGTATACATGTATCCGCCACCGCGCTTGCAACGGCTGGTGTGCGTCGGGTCTTTTTGCCGTTTTATGAAGCAAGAGTTAGGGTCCCCCGACTCATCGAGCTCAAGATGCGCTTATCCCTGTGGTCAAGTCCCTGTGCTTTTGGCCCTCCGCGCAGAAGACGGTCCCACACACAGAGCCTGGGGAAAGGGAAGTCCGTGGACCCTCTCCCCTCCCCCCCCAGGCGCCGCCCCCACCCGCCCGCCCGAGCGGGGTGGCGGAATTGCGCGGCAGCGCAACTGTATATTTGTGTATATATAAATCGATGAACGTATACATACATTACCTACCTACCTACCTACCTACATACAGACAGACAGACAGACAGACAGACAGACATACACACATACATACATACGTACATACATACCCACATACATAAACATTCATGCATTCATACATACATACATACATACATACATACATACATACATACATACATACATTAACACACATACATACATACATACATACATGCATGCATGCATGCATGCATGCATACATACATATATATATATAGAGAGAGAGAGAAAGAGAGAGAGAGAGAGAGAGAGAGAGAGAGAGAGAGAGAGAAAGAGAGAGAGAGAGAGAGAGAGCGCGCCCGCAGGGCCCGAGCAAAGGGAAGGGTGGGCTAGGCTTAAGCTACCCCCCCCCACCCTTTGCAATGGTCCCGCTTAGAACCACTGCCCTGATAGCAATCCTGAATGATGCTACTCTCTTCTCTGCTCTGACAACGTGTCGAGGGTACCGTTGACGGTGTTGAACTCGTCGCACGACGGGTCGAATATGAGGGCAGTGACTGTGCGATGCTGATCGCACTATGGTGATGAACAGGATCTGTTTATCAGCGGGCAGTTCGCTGTCCTGCGTCTCTCAGACGCACACCAGAAGTCCAGCGTCGCTGAGACGCTGCAAAGGCTTGAGCCAGAACGGTTTCGGATGAACCTGTTCTGTTTGAATTATCTGTTGCAACTTGTTGCTAGGGAAACGGAGTGCCTACTAAGCAAGGCTTGCTGAAACCTGGAGTCTTAAGGGACCCGATTCGCCGGGAAACGCTTGGCTAACATACATGGGGCTCCTTTGGAGCCTGAAGCTTATATCACGCACGGCCTCTAGAGGCCATCTGTCGTAAGTAGGCTCTAGTGAGGCAGGCTCGGGGCTGTGAATTCATGCCCAAAAGCTAAAGATCGATGTTACGGCATCGAGACCTGCCTCTGGCAACTGAATTCACAGAACGCACAGAGCGCGTGAGAGGCTTCACAGTGCCCCAAAGGGCTATATCTCCGGCAGGGGTCTCCTGCTCGTAGGGATTGTCGCGAGCGAAGTAGATCAGGGCCTCCAGCATAGCTTCATCGTCATCTGCTGATAACGGCTTGCCGTGGTCCAGCTTGTCCATGCCCTCGGTCTTGCGCTTCCTAGCACTGCGGTGCAGGGGGTCGTCCACGAGTCTCCAGCGCTGACCTGACCTGAAGAACTCCAGCAAGACCTTGGCGGCTCGATCCTTGGTGAGGCCGTCGGCTAGCATGGCATCGCTGTGGACCCAGCGTATCTGGAGGGCCGTCTGCTCCTTCTGCTGTCGAATGCCTAGACACTCGATGCTCGTCCGCTTATCGCGTAGGCCGAGACCAGCTGACTCGCTCTTCTCGATCGCGTCGTAGCCCGACTTACCGTCTGTGACCAGTACGCCAGGGCAGGATGAGATGGCGTCGTTCACGTGCTGCTTGTTGGTGTAGTCCACTTGGCCGCACTCCAGCTCGTAGATGAACAGGCGCACGTAGCTGATCTCGTCGAGGGTCTCTGTCATCATCTGAACCTCCGCACTCGTACTGCTTCTGGCCACTCGCGGTAGTTTGCATGATCTCCATGAGATAGGCGCTGCCGTCTCTGTCGAGCCACTCAGGAAAGACAGTGGTGCCAGCACGATCATCTCGCCACCCTGGGACTCGCCAGTGATACGAGCGGCCCAGGCAGCATCGCCCCAGCCAACCACAGCGATCTGCTCGATGGCCGGGATGAGCATGACCACGTCGGCAGTGTCATTCATGGTGCGGATCAGCTTGTTGATCTTCTGGATGGTAGAGACCGTCGCCGTAGGTATCTCCGCTTGAAGTAGAGAGACTTCTGCACTGAGCCACGGGGACGACTGCTGAGCTCGCCATCCGACTGTACCAAGTCGGCCTCGTAGATCTGATCTCTCCTTGTCTGAAACTCCTTCCGTGGGCTTGCGTCCACGTCGTATCTTGATGGGCTCCACGTTCAGGCTGTAGCTGTCCTGTGCGAGACTGCAGGTGTAGTCCTCATTCTGTCGAATACTGATGCCGCACTGCACAAACGCTCGGCTCTCCCAAGGTGTCCACTCGAAGGCCTGTTGTATCTCCTGTCGTTTCTTGAGGAAGGCCGAGTTGTGATGGTCGCCGGCGATCATCATGTCGTCGACGTGTAGGATAACCATGCCGACCAGCTTCGTGCCGTCTCGAATGACCCAGACGCACGGCTCGCACTGTATCACCTCCAGCTGCAGCGTCTTGAGCGTGTCCTTGAAATGGAGCCACCATTTGCGAGGAGCATGTACAAATCCGTACATAGGCTTGAGGAACTGCAGGACCTCGTCGTCTTTCATGCCGAAGGCCTGACGCACGTCCTTAGGCGGGTCCGCGTAGATCTTCCTCTTCTCCTCGTCCGTCTCGCCCTGGAGAAAGGCTGTCACTGCATCGGCCTTCTCCAGTTTCCACTTGTGTCTAGCTGCCATGGCCAGTAGAAGTTGACGTGCACGTCTGGAGGCAACTGGTGATTCTGTCCGCAGGTGCAGCAGGTCGGGGTCGCTGAAGCCGAGCACGACCAGTCTGGCTTTGCCTCGTAGCACGTTCCCCTGGTCATCCTTCTTCCAGGTCAGCACGAAGCGGCAGCGCAGCAGGCGCGCCGGGTCGATCCCCTGTCGGCTGAGGATCCTGACGGCCTTCGTGCTGAGGACTGAGGTGCACTCCTTCTGCTGGGCCTCGAGTAGCAGCTTCTTCTCCTCAGGCGTCGCCTTCTTAAATGAGACCTCCACTCGGCCCTTGCGGGCCTGCGATGCCACGAAGTTGCTGGGGTCGTCCATGTAGGCCATGAACGCATGCTCGTTGCTGACAGGGATGTCCAGCACGATGAGTTCGTCGTTCTCCTTCATATCGTCGTACTGCTGGACACTGTAGGCATAGTCGCTGTAGAAGTTACCCTCTTGCAGGTAGTAGGAGAAGGCCTCCTGGGTCGCAGCGTTGACCCGCTGCTTCTTAGCCGGGGGCTCGGTTGAGCCGGGCTCTCGGATCCGGCGCTTATCGTTCACGTCGGGCGCCGAGATATCGTCGAGGTCATCGTCAGTCTCCACCACGATGGGCCGCTGCGACGCGCGCTCCTCCTGGTCGTCGCCGGGAGGGGCTTCCATGACGATCTCCTCCTCGATGGGCTGCTCAGCTTCTTCGGGTAGTCCAGCTTCGTGGCCGTCTTCCTGTGGAATGCCTGGTGGAACTTCTGGCTGAGCTGGCTGGATGAGAGGTTCCTGGACCTCGGTCGCCTCGTTCCAGGGATTACCCTTCTTCCGCATACGCTTGGGAGGTCGCGGTCCAGGTAGAGGTCGCTCTTCCAGTCCGGGTGGCGCCGCCAAGGCTCCACCACCTCCGCCGCCTCCTGGGTCAAGACTACGAGGGTCTCCTTGTGGAACAGGAAGATCATCGTCCTCAGAAATGGCCCAGGGTCCGCTCGCGTTGCTCTCGAAGGTGCGGGCGCTGACCGATTCACCGTCATCAGCGGCCAAATCCTCGCCAGTGGGCGGGGACTCGTTCGACAAGTCGATCACCTCGTTAGTGTCGAGCTGCTTCTGGACATCGCCGAAGGTCCAGGTCCCCGGCTGCTCGCGGCGCGAGCGTAGGGAGTCCATCGCCTCCTCAGAAGGCGTGGCAGGTCGAAGTTGTTCGGGAGCAACTCGGTAGAGGCGGCCAGCCAGTGTGATATTGACCACCGTCCCAGGTAGACCAGGTCGGTGTCCCGAGCTCGCTGGCTCGTGACAAAGTACTCGTCCAGGTCCGTACCAGCGTCCTCGCCCAGGCATTGAGCGAGGCTGTCCCTTCTTGCGCCAGGCCCCTGGTGGGAGCCGCCTGTAGACGAAAACCAGATCGCCCGTCTCGTACTTCTTGAAGGACCTGAAGCGCGCGGCCTCCGCTCGCTTAACTCGGTCAGAGTTCTCGGTCTGGATGTGAGCCAGCCGCGCCATCCGTCGTACCTGGGCGTCCCTGCTGAAGGTACCGTCCTGCAGCTCGGCACTGATGAGCGGCAGGTTGTTCGGCTCGTCCGACAGGTTGACTGTCGTCCCAGTCGGCGTCCGTCCCGCGTAGCGCTGCAGCGGGCTGAACCCGTCGATCCTGATCAGGTCGTTCCTGGCCGCTGTCTGGAGTCCGAACATCTCGCTGGTGGGTACTTCGGCTGAGACCATCTCGTCGAAAGCGTCGAGGGCCTCCTTGAAGGCTTCAATGGCGCGCTCGATCTTGCCGATCTGCCAGTGCGCGTCGGCCGCGCATGGGAGACAGTAGACTCCCTGGCCCTCGATCCACTCGCGGAACTCGTCGGAGATGGCGCTGCCGGCAGGGTCGTAGAGCATGACCTTCGGGCGTCCCATCCAGGGGAACCATTTTGTAGCAAAGATATGCCGAAGGTCGCCGGCACGAACTTGTCGAGTCGTACCCGGGATCGGCTTCTCGTCGATCAGCCGC